TTNTATATATATATATATATATATATATATATATATATGTAATCGTAAATTTTCTATCAATTTCAATAATAAATAAATAAATAAATAAAGAATCTTTACTAAAAAATAATAAAAATATATAATATTAATTCGACATATAGAAAAACAATCCTTACATATTATAATACTGAAATTAAATTAACTGATTTATATTCGTACATAAGTTTGATATCACTGATTTATTCTATATCTCGACAATAATATAACGAAAGAAGAAGAAGTGGAAGAGGAAAGGGAGGAGGAGGAGGAGGAGGATGGGTTAGTTAGAAGATAGTATAAAGTTAGACGAATGGAATCAGATAGAAAGTGAGTTTCTATGTCGTAAATTTAGGACTAGTTGCCGAACTATAGAGGAGAGGATATCATTATCCAATCGTTGAGCAACTCAAGCTGTATCATTGTTGCAAGCCTAAAGCGAATAACGTTCTAGGTACACGCGAATGAGATATATATTGTTAGTGCATGATTGAACGCGACGATTGCCGGACGAATCGGGAAACCCTCTTGCGCGAGAATACGAACCCAGCTCTTTGATTACGTAATGATTTCCCTCTTCCATTCGAAAACTGAGATTCGTACGAACGAACAAACGAACGAACGTAGGAACGAACGAACGACCGTTTCAACCATTTATGACTGTCGACCTATTGTCAATTTCAAACCTAACGGTAGGCACACACGTTCCCTAACCGTCGAGCTTATTGTTATCACTTTCAGTATTGTTACAACACTCTATCCCTATCTATCTATCTTTATCGGCTTTTAATCTCTTCCTCTCTCTCTCTCTCTCTCTCTCTCTCTCTCTCTGTTTCTCTTTGTTCTTCACACCAATAGCATTTGAAATAACAAAACATTGAAATAGGGATCGTAAAACGGATAGCAGAGATCGTACCAAATCGAGGGTTACACAAGATGCAAAAGGGTAAACTGGAGGTACATGTCAACATTGACATGACAAGAAATATCAAATATTTATCTTATATTAGTTTAATATCATCTAATTTTGAATTATAATATCTATACAGTTTTTCTTTCGTTGAGATCGATAACATTTTTTGCATATCTTGATCTTACTACTTATACTCATCATTCTCCCATAGGTCTTTAATATCGAAATAAAAAAAATAAAAATGAAATTCAGGCGAATTATTTGCCCCCCTCCCAAAAAAAAAGAAAAAAATAATAAATAACATAAAAAGAAAGAAATATTACAAATACTTAAAGTTCTCTTTGGTAAAGAATTTGTAAAAGGGGTTGAGAAAAGTTTTTTGTATAAATCTTTCTCGCCATCTTTCAAACGCCTTTCTTTTTCTCCTCCTCCTACACCTCCTCCACCTACTCTTACTACTACTCTTTATTTCTTTCTACAGACTTTACTCTTATCGTAGCTTTGAATTTAAATACAACGCGTTTGCGTGGCGGTAATCGTCCGTGCGTTAATCAGATTAAACACGACTCCCGATCCCTTTTATTCGCCGCGGAACACCGCGGATAGGGAAACGTTATCGCGAGCTAATCTCTTCTCATTCTCTTTCTCTCTTCTCCCTTTTTCTCTTTCTCTCTCTCTTTCTCTCTCTTTCTCTCTCTTTCTCTCTCTTCTTCGTTGAGAGAAAATTTCTCATTTTCATCGGATATACATTTACGCCGGGAGGGAAGCGTTTACCAAGCGTTCGTTCGTTCTATCATGCATACTCGCAAACAGAATTATTCCTTGGCATATTTTTTAGACCACTTTCCAAATATACATATGTATGAATGTATGTATGTATGTATGTATATATATAACTACATATATATCTATCTATCTAAATATATAATACATACCATTCGAATTCATCGACGATTCGTTCGTAAAAAAGAAAAAAAGAAAAACAAATAAAAAGAAAAGAAGAAAATTTAGAAATTTCTATTCCACGTTCGAAAACTCATCGACAAAAATAAAAAATAAAAAGTAACAGGACAAAAATTCATTCACCCGAAAACTTTGACCCACATTTTTAAATAATCCATGATAATACTAATATTAATAGTATATTATTCACCTAGGGAGGAAAGTATGGCATTCCGACTTGCGGAATATTGTCACCGCTTTTTTGTTTTTTTTTTGTTGCAAAAACGAACTTTCGATTTATGGGTGAGAAAAAATAATGTTCTATGGATAGAAAACAAACGAGTGATTGAAAAATGATAGGAATATAAATAACCATTTTTTATTTGTTTTATTTTTTTTAAACAAGAATATCTAATTTGTAATTATGCACTTATCTCAAATGAAAAAAAAGAACAACATGTTACTTGTACACCCTATTTTCCTTTTCAACTACTCAAATGTCTTTTTTACTCGTATAGTACACGTTTCTTTTCATCGTTCGTAATAAGAACTTACATTATAAAGAAAAAAAAGAGGAAAATTCCCATTAGGACTTATGTCAAGGAAAAATTTGTAAACATTAAAGCTCTGCACGTTTTGAAAATAGCCAGAAAGATGACGGAGAAGTGGGTCATCAAGAGACAGTTTCGTATCTACAACCGAATGAGTACAACGACAAGATCTAACGAGAAAGAAACAGACAGATAGATAGAGAAAGAGAGATAAAGAGATATTGAAAGAGAGAAAGAGAGAGAGAAATATTATTAAGCTTCAAGTGGAAACGAACATTCGTGCAAAATTGAATTTGAATTTAGCGAATTCAACCTGAATTTCATTTCATTTAAATGAACCAAAGAGAATACGAATCCTTCTGCCCCATATATATATATATATTAAAGAGAAAGAAAGAAAGAGAGAGAGAGAGAAATAGATGTTCATAATTTGTATGTATGGCAACGTATTTCCACGAATACGAATCTAGTGTACATATCGTGTCTATGCTAATGGACGAAAGGGTAATCCGTAATCGCTAATTACATCGAGTTAAATCTGACGTATTCGGCCGGAAACGTTGGATGGGCGTGACGTTATCCCCTGTACGAACGTACAGAGAGAGAGAGAGAGAGAGAGAGAGAAAGAGAAATAGAGATATAGAGATAGAAGTGGGTTATTCCTCTCCTTCTCTCTCTCTCTCTCTCATCTATGATTAGTGCGCACGATAAGTCGAGACGTCTGCCGTATTCTCAGCGCGTTATCTACCGGTAATTAGGCGCTTGCATTGCCGTGAAATTAAGACAAAAAGCCGGCACATCGCGTTTCCTGCTCCTTCTCTCTCTCTCTCTCTCTCTCTCTCTCTCTCTCTCTCTCTCTCTCTCTCTATATATATATATATATATATATATATATACACATATATAATATCTGTTTCTGTCTCTGTTTCTGTCTCTCTTTGGATTCACGTTTCGAGTATAGGTATGTATGTATGTATGTGTCTGTACTACGTACGTACGTTTGTGGCCTTGTCAGCACCCACAACCTGGACGACGATGGAGTTATTGGGTGCGAGAGATTCTACGGATCGATGAACACAAACGGTCCATTTCCCATCGTTCTCTCTCTCTCTCTCTCTTCTCTCTCTGGCTCTCTCTTTCTCGCTCTCTCTCTCTCTCTCTCTTCTCTCTCTGGCTCTCTCTTTCTCGCTCTCTCTCTCTTTACCTATCTCTAACTCATTCACTCTCTTAAATTTTTAGGAATATATTCTTTTTAACATTTTTCGGAAGACGTCTTTCAAAATTCGACAAAAAACTCGATATGAAAATATCGAACGTTTTATTATTTCACGAGAGAACACACATACACACATTTTTAATAGATGTTGCTACTATTAAGTTATTCGCAACTATTACGATTTCAAGGGATTTCGTAATACAATGCTACCTTTAAAGTGTTATATGTTCATCTTGTTGGTGAAATTCTCTTGAGTTGTTATCGTATTTGTCAAATAAAATCGTAATATTTACTAAATTATTTATATCGAGATTCATTAAAATTCGATAAGAAAGTATATACCGAATGATTAAAATTTATCCTACAATCCATCAACTAACATTTATACGATTACACAAAAGAAAAGAAATAAAGACATTACTTGTACTTTCTATAGTTTAATTCGGATCTTTGAATATTTCAGCAAAATTTATCATAATCGAAGTTAATTTCACATTCCTCGTGTTAGAAAAGAAATACGTTCTTAAGCTAAGAATCATCTTAAGGTAAACTTTACCGAGAAACATGTTTGAGAGAAGAGGAAGAACACTGACAAATTTGTGGTTTCGCATGTGCGGCGTTAGATGCAATATGTAAAGTCATGTGGCACCTACTGCTCTAAAATTTTCTCCTAGATGGTGCTATCGGACACGTGGTCGGCGTATCGCGGTTCGCATAAATAATATCAAAGCGCGCGGTAACCTAGACTCATTAAATAGTAGCTGAATCTCGTAATACTCACGTAATGCGGCCGAAATGAGAAATGAGTAATGGGGTCAGAACGTAGTAGCAAGAGTTCCTAGCCACGAGTAAGTTCGGTATTGCTGAGAAAAAGAGAAAGAGAAAGAGAAAGAGAGAGGGTATAATCCCTTCCTAATGACGTGCCCATTTTTAGCTTTAATACAGCTGACACGCAGTAACGATGAACATATCCGCACGTTCTACCGCGTATTTCCTCAATGGATTAGCGGACTTCGCGCAGATAGGAATAATGCGCGTGTAAAACTAGTAAAGCGGGTGAAAAGACGTGAAGGAAACTAAAGATCGTAACTTCTCTCTTTCTCCCTTCCTTTCTTTGCCGAGCTCTCTCTCTCTTTCTCTGTCTCTCTGACACTCTTATCGTTTCTTTATACCTAACGTAAATCTTTATAAATCTTCTCACGCGTTCACTTTAGTTCTTACTCAAAATCCCGTTAATTTCCTTGTGGTCACGACGTTAGCACTTTTCTTACCATTTTTCAAACTTCCTTTTCCGTGTTCATTCTGTTTCTCTTGGATCTATTCGTTAAACATTAATGTTTCTTTTTCATTTTTCTTTTTACAGATTTACGGCCAGAACAGAAGCAGCAACAGCAGAAGTAGCAGCAGCAGTAGCGGGAAGAATGGATTACGTTTGCTTCTATTGGCCTGTTTGATCGTTTTAAGCAACGCTGCATTTTGTCCTAACGGTTGCACTTGCGACGACGAAACTTTGGTAGTATCCTGCGTAGGTGCTAGCTTGGAAGTGATACCGATCGCATTGAATCCTAGTATACAAAGATTGGTATTGAAGGAGAATAAAATAAAGACCGTAGAAGCTGCCGTTTTTCAATTTTACGGAGATCTGAAGAATATTGATTTATCGAGCAATCATCTGTTCAACATTCCAGACGGTAGCTTCGAGGCACAGAAACAAGTGGTCGAATTGCATCTAAGGCACAACAAGATTTCAGCTTTAACGGAGAAAACATTTCAAGGATTGAAATCGTTGACGGTACTGAATATGCGAGACAATTATCTCGAAAGTCTGAAGAACGGATTATTCGTGTCCCTACAAAAGTTGGAGGAACTCGATCTTGGTCAGAATCGAATCTCGAAGCTCGAGCCAAACGCCTTTCAGAAACTCGGTACTCTCAGGGTTCTCTATCTAGACGATAATCAACTAAAAACAATACCATCGTCTGCTTTGGCTCCGTTGAACGCCCTTGCTGAGCTTCACATTGGTTGGAACGCACTTTCTACCCTACCAGACGATGCTTTCAAAGGTTTGGAACAACTGACCATTTTGGACGTCATGAGTGCCGGTCTGGACAACATCAGCGACGGTGCTTTCCGAGGTCTTAACGCTTTACGTACTTTGAAACTCAGTGGGAACAAGTTGCGCGAAGTACCAACAAAGCAACTCGCGGTGCTACCACGGATAGAGGAGCTTACCCTGGGTCAAAACTTCTTTACCATTCTGAGATCGGGAGCGTTTCAGGGTCTTTCGAAACTTAAGAAGCTCGACATCTCCGGTTCGAAGCTCTTGACCACTGTTGAACGTGGCGCCTTCTCAGACAATGCCAATTTGGAGACACTAGTGTTGAACAGCAACAAACGTTTAGCTACGATGGAGGACGGTGCATTGGCAGGATTGCCAAATTTACGTCACCTGATGTTACGAGATAATGCGTTCACGAGTTTTTCCGAATCACTGGTAGCTTGGAACGAGCTACGTAGATTAGATCTTAGCGAGAACCCGATTGTATGCGATTGTAGTCTGTTGTGGTTAGCCGAGGTACTCGTACCGCGAAACTCTAGTCCGGTAATATGTCTCGAGCAGGCAGGATCTAAAGGAAAATCGATCAAGGGTATGACGCCTGACGAATTGGGTTGTGCCTTTTCGGATCCTCGCAAACAGGCACTCTTGGCTACTCTCTGCGCGGGTGGTCTAGCCCTTTTTACTGGTCTAGCACTGATATTGTATTACAGATGTCGCAGACGCGTCAGGGATGCTTTGAATTACAAATGGAAGAATCGCAGTATTTCGAGAAAAGAGCACGAATATACGAAAACCTATTCGGAGGACGAGTATATCGTAAGATCGGCGCCACCCCATCATAATTATCATCCTAACCCAACGCAAAATCAAGTAATACCACCTCATTCCCAACACCATTATTTACAACAGCAACAACAACAGCATCAGTTGCAACAACAACAGCAACAACAGCAACACGGTCAAATGACGGTGGGTACTAAACCAATACCGGTGACGGAACTGTAGCTAGAACTTCGGGCGGCGAGCCCCGGCACCGGAGGTGTTTGGTTCTTGCCCCACGGTAGTACCACACTCGCCGAGGGCTTCACCTACATCGACGGGGAGACGGCGCGTCAAATGCGTCGTCCGGGAACGCTGCCCGCGTCGAGCGGTCATCATTATCGCTCCAGTGGAGGAAGCAACGGGGGTGCTGGAGGAGGAGGGGCAAGCGGAGGCGGAAGTGGTGGACCAGGTGGAATGTCAGTGGAGGAGAGCTCATCGTCCTTGAACGGTACCACCGGTGATGATCGTGGAAACGTCGCCGGAAGCGGTTCTACCGTTCCTGGTGCTTCCGGCAGTGGTAATAACGGTGGTGGTAGTAGTACTGGCAGCACTGGTAGATCGCATTATTCCAATCTCTCGTTGCGTCGTACGCCTCAGCCGCCTCAGCTGCCGTCAAGGGGTAACGATTGCATCGATAGGATGCACAGCGAGTCGAGGATTCAGAACGGAATACCCGGACACCATCCACCCCCACCTCTACCCTCGAGGCACCAATCCACTTGCTCCCAATCCTCTTATCCGACGCTACCCGTTAACGGACACGGAGCTCATCACTATCATCACTATCCCCGTGAGCGAGACAAGGATAGATCCTCGACACGCGAGAGGAATCGCGAGAGGGATGGAGGTGGCCTAGGAGGAGGAGTTCGTGCCGACAAACATCGTGAGGCACAACTCGAGATGGAACTTCACGATGGTCTCGATATCGCCGGTATAGGAACCTATCGAGCGTAAAGCAAACAACAGCAAGCAAGCAAGCAACCAACCAACAACAACAACGACGAGTTCTATTCGAAATCCCTTAATACGACATCGTACGACGATCGATTTAAAATCAAACTGCCAACGTACGGCGAAAACGATACATATTAAAACTTTTCCATTAGGGCCGAATAAGATAGAGAAGGATGTACAGCGATAGGCTGACTAACTGCTACTTGAAATTATCTCAAGTCCTGCTCCGTTGTTGCCTTGATGCGCGAGAGACGCGATCTTGACGGTCATACATAACTATGGGAAACGTTTCCGACGTCGGAGATATCTTGAGTTTCATGGATGATGGGAGTGCCAGGGAACCCCCTTCGACCCTTTCTCTCAAATATTCGTCTTAAAACAAAAGCCTAACGAAAGAGAGAAATTGACTGGGATTGTAATACCGCATACTGCCCTTTTATCAATATTTACGAGTAATATCGTAAAAAGAAAAAAAAAACAAAATAAAAGTCTATAACATTAATTATTCTTCGATTAAAAATAAGGAAAGAATCCTATTCTTCTTTCAAATACTAACATTGAACAAAAAATAAAAAAAAAAACGCATCGACCTTGATTACGAATAAAAGACAAGTGTGCGTGTGCGTGCGCGTGATGTGTATGTATGTATGTGTGTGTTGTGTGTTATCGATTACCGTAACAGTTGGTCGATCAGAAGATAATTCAAACTTTGGAACTTAAAGTTCGATAACTGAAAAATGTCGAATATTCGAAACTACTTTTAACGATTGGAATGGGTACGAAAAAATGGCTACCGTTACGTGGCCCATAGGAAAGTGAGGAAAACGATCGATAGATCGATGCTTCAACGAGAACGTAGCAAACGAGAGAAAAAGAAAAAGATAACGGAAAGAAAGAAAAAGAGAAAAAGAAAAAAAGAGAGAGAGAGATAGAGATAGAACATCTTTATCGTTAATTAAACATGCGTGTTTTTTAGGATAGTGTTTAGGATCTCGATAATAGTGTCAAAATGCGTTTTCCCCTTCGCGTTTTGTCTTCTATTTATGTAGAATTGACGTCTGTATCATAAAAATAACAAAACAAGGGATAAAAAGAAGGAAAGATCATTCCTTTTCATTATTATAATGCATCGCAATTATATACATACGTATAAATATACATGTATACATACACATATATATATATTTATATATATAACGATGGGTCATATTCACACACATTTAGAATATATATATTATATATTCTAAACGGTCGAATTATTTTCTAAATAAAAAAACACCAATGTACAGAAGTAAGACGGAGAATGATAGTAAAGCTAGTATTCAAGACGAAGGTTTTTCTCTAGTATTTTTTTCTTTTTTTTTTTTTTAAACTTTGGATACGTTTTCTGTCAAAAGTTAATTTAAAAAAAATGAAATTAAATGGCAGAAAATATTCGGTGTATCCAATAGTTTATATTCTGTTCCTCGATCAAAATCGAATTTGCAAAATGAAAATTGATAAATAAGATAAGTTTGGAGAACAGAAGGGATATTTATCAAAATGATGGAAAATTTGTATCGAACGATGAACACGCTCGCTATTCGAATTTTATTGAATTACGATAATTTCCTTTTTCTTTTTAAGTGCTTGATGTACGATGATCCTAATACGATGATTTTATGTTTTCTTTTTTCGAAAAATTCTATCCGCAAAAATACCCCGAATATTGTTTGTACCTGCGTATATTTGATTCGTCTTACGTTAAATAATTTGTCGTTTAAACGAACGACCATATTTTTGCCGTTTGAAATAGCAACCGAATGAAAGACAAAAAACGATAATTTGATCGATCCTTTACTCGAATCATATCAATATAAATATAAAAGAATTTGTATTAATCCTATAAGCGAGTAAAAAAAAAAAAAAAAAGAAAAAAAAAGAAAACATCAATTAAAAGATCACAACAGATTGCGAATGAAAATTTGGCAAAGTAAATAAAAAAGAAAACTTTCTCAAAATTACGATTCTTGTAGGACACAAATATATTCGTATAGACAGATACATGCATACCCATACAGATACACACACACACACATATCATAGTTCATTGATAAACCAAAGCAAATCTGGCGCTTTGTAAGATTACAGAGAAAGTGGTAGAAATTTGTCAAGTTTCGAATTTACTCGTTGGAAGTTTTGCAAATGTTGGAAGGACTAGGAAAAGAGGAAGGAGGAGACTTCTTGGAAGATCCAATGATCCTCGATGCATCGTCTGCTCGTGTTCTTGTTCCGTTCCTTAGAAAAGGTAAGAGTTTTCGTGGAAGCGTACCGTGACGAGTTCTCGACCTGTATTAAAATGCACCGGGTGCGGTTGACTTTAAGTTAGTTAGTTTTCAAGCACGGTAATCGTTAAGAAGAGAGAAAGAGAGAAAAAGAAAGAAAGGGAGATGGGGTGGGGGGACAGGAACGCGAATACTTTACCGGTATACACAAGAAAGAAAAAGAAAAAGAAGGGATGATGAAAGATAGACGAAAAGAGTGAATGAGTGTAAGAGAGAAAGAGAGAAATTGAGCTGGTGCAACTCAAGCTAGTAGTAGAAAGATGTACTTTGCGGAACGAGATTATTTTTCCGCTCGAGTGTACCCAGTGGAATTCCACGGTCACCCTGCCTGAGAAAGGTGACTGCACTTTGAATCGACTCCGCGTTCTGCCGTTATGCAGGGCGTGGAGCACCGGAATTTCAACTTCGTAGAAAAGAGATCTATAGCGTACTCGAAAAACGATATTACGGGATGCTGCGAGTGTCTACTCGTTGCTCTTCTTCGACAATTTTCCTTCTTCTTCTTCTTCTTCTTCTGGTTATTATTATTATTATTTTTATTATTATTTTCCCTTTCTTTTTTGGACGCGAACAACTGGATTAAGAACACAACAAGATTTATCTCACTCTTCTTTTAGAAAATAAAAAGAGTCCAAAATAAAGTCAGAGAAAAAAATAAATAGAATGTAAATATATATATAATCTCTTTACTCGGTAGCATTGTGTGTGTGTGTGTGTGTGTGTGTTAACCTTTGCAACTACTTTTTCGCAAAGTTTATTCAACGATCTTGAAGTTTAAAGGTCATCCGGTTTTTTTCCAATTTTTTTTAAATTTGTTATCGACACTTATTTCATTCTATTATATAACCTTTCTCCCCCTACCTTTTGAGATTCGACGAAGCGTGTAAACGTTAGGTATAATACAGGTGTGTATCAGAATCAAAACAAAAAATCATCTATATATTTTCCATTCTAACTCATTTTCTTTTTCTTTTTTACTGTACACTTCTTGTCTCAAATTTTTATTTCGTAAATGATAAATATCGAAATTTTTACTTATTAAACATTCCTTGCAAATATCTCCAGGCATTTTCCAATTATTATTATTATTATTATTATTACTATTATTATTATTATTATTATTATTATTATTATTATTATTATTATTATTATTATTATTATTATTTTATATTTTCGACAATATACTATGTATAAAATAAAAAAGAGAGATATAGAGAGTATATGTGTGTATGTGTGTGCATGTGCAGGAAAAAATTGAAATCTTTGTAAAAAGCAAGCCCGTGTATAAAAAAAAAAAAAAAATAATGAAAAAAGTTAAAATACTTGTGGTAATAACAAACATAGTTTTTCTTGATAAAAAAAAAGTAAAAAAGTAAAGTGGTATGGGGAAAGAAAGAAAGATAGGAAGGAAGGAAGAAAGGAAAAATAAAAAGGAAAGAACCAATTCAAAGACGAATTAATCAAACGTATTTAAGACGCAGATACTGATAGAGGACCGATCCGAGAAGCTAATCCGAGGCGTTTGAATTCCAATAACATTTAACCTGTCCCCTCATAGGAATTCCCAGAATGTGCTTTGAATACTTGTAACTTCAGTCGATAGTGTCAGACGTAAAATTTCATTATATCCTCGAGTCCTATGATAAAACTTCATGAAAGTCCCGATAAATCGAATAAAACAAATATTCATCGATATCAGCAATTATAAGATAAAAAATAAAAATTCACCGGATGTCTTGTGAACATTTTTTGAAAAATCATGGATTTACGTACGATAAGGAAAAAAAAAATAAAAAGTAGGAAGGGATAAAAATTCAAATGAAATTTTTGGGAAGATAATTACGAAATAAAATAAACAAAAAAAAATATTTCGGTACGTAAATAGAAAACAACAAGAATGCATACTCTCTCGTTTGGCACGCCATGCCGCAGGACAATAAAAATGGTGGAGGAGAATTGTATTACAAAAGGATACGTTAAAATATTTAAAAGGGGAATCAATTTGATCGCAAACAAAAGAGAAAGAGAGAGAGAGAAGATTATCCGATTTATCTCGCAAAGCTTGTAAATTATTTCTTCTGAAACCAACGATGATAACGATGAAAGTACCCGAGTACACACACACGCGCGCACATATACACATATCAATGAAGAATGAAAGCTTCTTTCACGTACGTGTCAGAGCTTTTATTGTCGAATGAGAATAGGCTGATTTAGTCAAAAGGAATACACACAAACACATAAATTCGATGTATGTAAATGTATATATACACACACATCTACACATGGGACACTGAAAACAAAGCTGTGCGCATCTTTCAAATACATTTTATTGTTGTTTGATAATACGTATAGAAAATAAAATGTTCTTCAAAAATTCAATCAAACGAAAAACTGGTATACCAAACTTCAATTTCTATTCGATATTCGAACAAATATAATTGGGTCAAGCTATGGTTAAAAAAGACAAACTATAAATTTTGGACGATTCAAAAATAAAAGTTAATTTGTGTTTCGAAGATATTCATTCTTTTATTTTCTTAAAATAATTTTCTTTTCTTCTATTATAGGATGTTTGATTATATATTATTTTTTATCGCATTCACATTTAATTTATTAGTATGAGAAATGAAGATAAAAATAATTTTAGAATCGATTCAACTAATCTTGTGTAGTTTTACCTGATTTTTTCCAATTATTATTCTCTTTTTTCTGTCTGTCTGTATCTATTTCTGTCTGTCTCTCTCTTTCTTTACTTTAAAATAAAAATAGAAAAGAGAATGGAAAAATTGGATCTGAGTAGTATATAAGAAAAGAAATGATATTTTTTGAAAAGTGATGCCAGTTTAATTTTATAATTGTGAATATCAAAAAAAAAAAAAATGGGACTCGAACAGCAGTGAAGAAAAAAACAAGAAAAAAAATAAAGAAGTTGATACAATAAACGTATCGACTTCTCCAACAAAATTTGTACTTCTAACTCCTTACTTCGATGTGTCCTATTGCAACAAAAGAAGATAATTAAAAAAAAAAAAAGAAAAAAAAGATGGCCGGCACATCTGCGTAGCGTGTTTGTAATTAAATATATTGTAAATGTCTCGAGGTGTCTCAAGTATAATATTACATAATTAGATAGTTCTAAAAGGGAGAAAGA